ATGTGCCAGCTGGGTGGAGATGGTATTGCACTCACACCAATACACCACTTGCTGTTTTAACTTGACACCTCCCACTTGAGCTCCTGGTTTTTTGAACCCAAGGAGGTCACGCCTCTCTCTCTTCACCAGATCTTGTCCCAGCAGGGTTTTCTTGTTCTTCTATTGGCAATAACACAACAATGCGCCTTACATCTCTGTGAAGTATTGTTGAGGGTATCTTCATTTGAAGTTCCTTCCTCGTCCTCCTTGTTTGTCCTCCAGCTCTCACAAGTGGTACAGGGTAACTTGGATAAGTTCGTACATGTACATCTCTTACAGTCCCCTTTTCGTCACTGTTTACACTGATCACTCTGCCAAGTTTGTACTGACTTCTCAAAGCATTCTGGTCTGCAAGCCAAATAATGTCTCCGACAGCAACATTTCGCTTCTTTGAATGCCATTTACTTCTGACAAACAAATTTGGTCCAGCTAGTTGACTCCATTTTCTCCAGAATCTGTCCACTTCTGTTTGAATGAACTTTAATCTCTTGAGTGGATAACTTTTAAAGTCAAATCCACAGTTATCACTTTTTAGATCAGTTCTTCCAAGCAGCAGAGAGTTTGGTGTGATGTAGCTTATGCAGTCTTCTCGACTGAGTTCTTGCATCTATTGGTCTTTCATTAGCCAGATTAGCTGCCATATACAGGAATGTTTGAAATTCACTCCATGTGAAAACTCCATCTGATCCTAGATTGTGCAATGCTTGCTTGACTATCTTTACAGCTGCTTCTGCTGCCCCATTCCTATGGGGGGAGTCTGCAGGGTGTATTTTCCAGCTCCATTCAGTTCCATGTTCCAAAGCTTTATGTTGAATTTGCTCTTTGTTTAATTGGTCCAAAAACAGATAAAGATCAGCCAGGACAGGTTTAGCTCCAATAAAGTTTTTTCCGCCATCTGACCATAACTTCCTTGGATGTCCTCTTAAGGCTGTAAATCTTTGGTATGCTAACAAAAAGCCTTCACTTGACTGATCGCTTACAAGATCTGTGTGAATAGCTCTAGATGACATGCAACAGAAGATGATGCCCCACACTTTCAGCTTAACTCTTTTCCGGGCCTCATCCCTCACTTCATAAGGTCCAAATAGATCAATAGTAGTAAACTCAAATGGTCTGGCAGGCAGTGTTCGTTCTGGTGGAAGATCACCCATTATCTGTTCACATCTTTTTGCCCTGATTTTCCGGCACGTCACACAGTTATCCACAACTTTTTTAGCCAATCTTCTGCCTCTCACCACCCATGCTTTTTTCCTCATCTGCAGTAATGTTCCAGCAATACCTTCATGATTTACTTCATGAGCTTCAAGAGCAACCAATGTGGATACCCATGAGTCATATGGTAAAATGGGAACAGCTCTTCTGTCTTCATTAAAGGATTGAATACGACCCCCACATACCTGAAGTCCAGAATCTTGTTCTTTAAACACAACTAGTCTGTTTAAAGTTGTGTCATGGAATGAGGTATTCTCTTGTGCAGCCAGAAAAACCTCTCTCAGTGCATTCTCACACTCTTTAACACTAAGCCCGGGATGGATGGTTGATTGTTTGATGTCTGTTGAAATTTTTACTTTCACTTTTCTGCCACTATGGTGGCTTTCTAAAGTGAGTTTCCAGTTTTCAACAGCTCTTCTCACCCATGCAATAACTCTGACTAGTTTAGAAAGACTGCTGTATCTTCTCTCTTGAATTAACTGCTTGGCAATGAATGTAAGAGGTGAGATTTTGAGGTCACTATCCTTTTCTTTACACTCTGTAGCTTTTAGAGCATTCTTTGTCACCTCCTCATCACACAATTTTTCTTTAGTTTGCTTAGACTGTGCTCTAGTTGTTACTGCTGAGAAAGCTTTTCTTTGGAGTTTTTCAACACCTTCTTTTGCACTTATAACAATGTCTTTGGCAGATCTTTTCGGCCATTGGTCAATAGGTTGCAACAAAAATTTTGGTCCATTTTGCCACTGTGAGTCCTCTTGGAGGTGCTCAGGACATGCTCCTCTTGATGTAATGTCTGCAACATTGAGCTCACCTGGAATCCACCACCAATCTGCGACAGGCCCAGTTTTCTGTATTTCATCAACTCTGTTAGCAAAGAAAGTTTGGTACCCATAGCTGTCACGCTGAATGGCTCCTAGCACAGTTTGGCTGTCTAGAAGATGGTACCAGCCTCCAATTTCCATCCTACTGTGCTTTCCAACATACTTCCTCAGACGAGCTGCAAACACAGCACCACAAATTTCTGCTTTTACAGGTTCTCCTTTCTGGTCAAGTGGAGTAAGTTTTGCTTTGGATTCTACAAGTCTCACTTGGATCCCTTGCTCTGTCTCCCATCTAAAGTATAGAACTGCGCCATAACTTTTGTCACCCCCATCAGAGAAAGTTATTCCAATGGGCTTTCCAATCCAACTGATTGGTGTTAAACTCCTGTGAAATTTAATTTGGCCCAGGCGAACATACTCCTGGAACAATTCAATGGCTTCATTTCTTAGCCCATCAGAAAGTGGTTGATCCCAAGTATCACCTGCTTTGCCTGCAGTTCTGGTTTCTTGAAAAGCCTTTCTCACTAGAATGGCTCCTTTTTGTTTGGTGGGTGTGACTAGCCCAATGGGATCAAAAAGACTAGCTACTTGGCTAAGGAGTTCTCTCCTAGTGAGAGGATTTGGAGTATTTACTCTCACTTCTCCTTCTTCTAGGTTTTGTCCCATCTTCATTTTTTTCCTCCTTTTTGAGAAGTTAATTGATGTCATCACATATAATTTATCCTCCTCCACCAGATATCCCACTCCCAAAGCCTTATTATCATCCTCTTTCAACTGATTAGGGAGTGTAAGGATTTTGTCTCTGCTAGGTAAGGACATTTTTTGCCTCCCACTTTGACCTGATAGGACCCATGGTTTCAAACAGAATCCCCCAGCTTGTAAGATCTCTTCCACCTTCTTAATGTGTTTATGCAAAAGTTCTGGGTCATTGTCAGATGTTAAAATGTCATCGACATAACAGTCTTCTTCCAGGATCCTCCGCTCCTCTTTACAGCTGTCAAACATGGGCAGTTTTGCCGTCTCTCGCATTGCTACTTGGGCAATACATCCAGCAGGTCGATCCCCAATGTTAACTCTGGTAATGGCAAACTCACCGATCTCCTCTTCTGAGCCGTCTCTCCAGAGGAACCTGTGTAGATGTCTCTCCAGGTCCTCTAGCCACACAGAGTTATACATCTTTTTAATGTCTCCCAGGGCAGCATGCAGTCCCCTTCTGAACCTGAGTAGAACAGCACGAATGGGATTTAAAACATCAGGACCTTTCAGCAGAATATCATTCATACTTAGACCTTCAAATCTTTGACTGCTGTTCCATACTAAACGCACAGGAGTGGTCACAGAATGAGGATTTGGCGCCACCTGATGGTTTACATACCATACTGGTCCTTTCCAGTTGTTTAGAGTGTCTTCTGTTAATTTTATTGCTGCTTTTCTCTCCACCATTTCATGCACCTGGTTTGCATAGACAGTTTTCCATTCAGGCTCTTTATTTAATCGTCTTTCTGTTCTTAAGAAAGTTGATTCAACACTTTTCCTGTTATTGGGAAGACAAACGGGTTCTACAATCCAAGGATACTTTGCATCCCAGTGGGGAGCATCACTGTGGTTATCTGCCTGCACATAGGTAAGACCTTGTTTAATTATTTCAAGTTCTTTCTCCTCCATTAATGTCATATCTTTCCCACCTGGTTGACATGTCCCACAGCGACATCCACCACACTTTGGTTCACAAGCTGCTCCTATGCTCTCCCACCTCCACCAATCAATGAACTCTTTATTGGTAGTTGTGTTTTTGCTTTCTGCTTTAACTTCTTCGAAACTGCAGACTTCTTTATACTTTACAGCAGCAATGCGCATAGAACGAGCAAAGTGCGTTTCTGACCTGTGTGCTGCCACGTCGACGTCTTCACAAAGATCCGGATGAGCTCCTCCCACGGTCATGCCGAGTGGACTGTTCCACAGGACCAGGTCTCCAACAACCTTGACTCTTTGAGGGGCCAGTCTGCCTTCTCTGTGGCTTATTAGCAGCTCAATGGTATCTGGTCTTTTAAGGTCTTCCAGGCCAACATCTGGGAAAAACTTTTGCAGCTGCAGTGGTTGAATGACTTTATGCACTTTAGCAATTTCACTAAGTCCATAACAAATGAGTTGGTGAGCTTTCACTGTGCCTTTGGGGGTTTTAACTCTCACTTTTAACAGGTATCTCTTTGTTCTAACTTTGACTGACATTCCCCCAACACCATGAACAACTAATGTTATGTTTTCACCTTCTAGGCTCAACTTTTTAGCTGCTTGATGAGTAATGTAATTAGTATCAGAAGCCAAGTCAATCAAAGTGCCAATTTTCTGGCCTGCGTTCGCAGTGACTTCCAATAGCATTAGAATGACAGGTTGCTCTTTTAGTCCATATGACTCCATAAGCCCAGAGGCTTCACACTTTGTGTTTTTTGTTGAAGCAGTCACATTTGAAAAGGCTTTTCTGCATTCTCCTGCTAGTTCTGGTGAAAGTCCAGCTATGAATTTTTCCTGCTCTTCTGTCAGTCTATTTTTCCTTCTTGGTTTATCGGTCTCAACCTTTGTAAGCTCACCCTTTGGGCAAAGGAGGAAATGGTGATCTGAAAAGCTTCTTTTCTTACAATCTTTATTTCTACAAAGGTAAGTGTTGATGCAATCAGCATCTCCATGCTTTCTCAAACACCTTTTGCATATGTCCAACGTCTTTACAATGTTGAGCTTTTCAGGTACATTCATTGCTTTGAACTGCTTGCAGAAGAATATTTTATCTCCATGTCTTGCGTCTCCACACACAATACAGGCATGATTCTTTCTTGTGGATCGAGTAAAAGCATGTCGTTTCTCAAACTTCTTCTCAGCCTTTTCACTCACTCCAAGTTGCTCTAATTTCTCTAGAACTTCTTCCTGTGTTTTTAAAAATTTGAGAAGACTATCAAAATGGTTATCTGGTGTAACTGCATTGGCAGGATTAACCATAAAAACTAGCCAGTCTCTCTTTATAACATCAGGTAGTTTACTCTCTAGAGATTTAATAACCAGAGGATTTTTCATTGCTCCAATGTTACCTAACTCTGTTAAGTCAGCTAGAGCCTTTTCAATTTCTTGAATAAGATCTATCACTTTCCTAGGCTGATTTGCTTTTAGGGGTGGAGTCTTTTCAAGCTCTTCAATAATTTCCAAAGCAATGCTTGACTTGTCGCCATACCTATTTTCCATCACTCGGAACATATCTGCAGCAGTATCATAAGCAGGCAGGTGTAATTCATTACAGATCCTTTCATCTACACTATCCAACAACTGAAACTTTTTCACTTCCACTGAGCCACTTGGTTCTCCCTGCTTCTGCAGACTTTCCCAGTCTTTTCTCCATCTGTGAAAGTTCCTTTTACAGCCATGAAATTTTGGTAGACAAATGGGTCTGATTTTTACACTGGGTGCAGGTTGAGCTAGTATAGGTAAAGATGTAAGGTCTGATTGAGCAGCATCTGATTTCCTCTTCTCCTCTGCAATCATTTGTGCTATGGCAAACTGCGATTTTCTTGTTTGAAGTTTATTTTTCATCAATTTCATTTGTTTTACTCTGTCTTCTATATTGTCCCTTTCTTCTACTGGAATCCACATTTCCCAGGTCACAAAACTTTTAGTAGATTCCTGGATCACATTCTCCACAAAGGACAGCTGCACTTCATATGCACTTTTGTTCACAGTTAAAACTTTTATGTCAGAAGCATCATTACATGCCTTTTCTGCCTCTTGGATTGCAGTATAGAGTTCATCTTGACCATATTTTTTCCACAAATGAGACCGAACTATTTGTTTGACTTCTTCTAATTTTGATTCACAGTCATTAATAGTCTTTTCCAAATCAGCTTTTTGCTGTTTATCAAGTTCACCAGCTTCATCTCCCACCTCTGCCAGTAGTCCAGCTTCGTAATCATCATTTGAATCACTTACATGTCTGGCATCAGAAGTTAGCTTTTTAAACTCCTCTCGCAGTTCCATCTCTGTCATGTTGGAAGCTTTTCTGCTCAGGAAGTTTGCTTGCTTGGTGAAGGAAGACTTTGCCATGGTGCGATCCAGCTTCAATTGTTTCACTGACTTTCCAAACATTTCTTCAGCCATTGTGGATTGTATAGATGAGATGACCTGATGTTCCTCCTTGAGTTGATTCGTTGAAGCTCTTTTCTCAGGACTTCACTGTCATCTGATCTTCAGTTGATTTCCAACTGGTTTTCAACTGTCAAGTTTTTTGGCCTCTTCAAACCACCTCGGCTTTTGCCCAAACTTGAAAAAGCTTTCTTCCTCCAAAGAGACGCAGAAACAACTCATCTCAGCGACATCTTTTTATTTCTCTTTTCTTTTGTCTTTAAATTACTTCAGTTTACAATACAAGACCACCATGGTTTTGTTTGAGTGGTCAGAGTAGACAGAGAGGTCACCAAGCGGGTTGAAAACCTACAAACAAATTAACCAAAATAAATTACAAATCACAATGAGCTAATTAAGCAGTTTACCAAATATTACCAATCTATTTTTAAGTTAACAGTGAATGAACAAATAAACAAACTACATTCTAAACACATAAAACCAATTTCACCACCAAGGCTAATTTGGTCTTCTGAATGCAGATGAAATGATTTAAACTGTGCATAATGTCCAATTCCTACCAGTGGTGTCTTTGTGGAAGCTTGAAGCCGAGGTTCTTTGTCTGTAGAGATCACTCTGAGCACAGCTGTGCTAAGTTACCTTATAGGCTTCTGAAGGCTTGAGTGTGAGAGAGATGGGTGCACTTGATTCTCTCTGATGCATGTGCCAGTTGGGTGGAGATAGCAAATACACCCACAAATGCACCATTTGCTGTTTTAACTTGACA